ATATATATACATATATATATATATATATTTGTGTATCATATATATAGTGATCTCGCGTATTACCATATACATTATCACGATCTTGTCGCGCGTATGCATAGAAAATAGAAAAACGCATCTTCGAGAGCATCATTGCGTGTTTCCTGTTGCAGCAAGAAAAACCAGAGAGAAAAGTAAAAGAAAAAGGGGAACGAAAACCCGAATCCCCGTGTGTGTCCGTTACAACATTACCATATGATTTACGCATACCCCTCCCCCTCACGCGATGTGGACTCAGCGAATACGGGTTTTAAATCGCTAGAGCTTAGCCGCCCCTACTAGCCGTCTCTCCTCTCCTTTCCCTCTCACCCCGCCTCCTTCTCCACACCCTCTCTCGCGCTCTCTCTTCATGCGCGATGAAGACGAACGCGTTACAAAGGAGAAATGGAGAAAAAGAGAACGGCAAACAGACAGACAGCCAGGCAGGCAAGCAAGCAAGCAAGCAAGCAAGCAAGCAAGCAAGCGAGGCAAGCAAGCAGGCAAGCAAGCAGGCAAGCAAGCAGCAAGCAAGCAGGCAAGCAAGCAGCAAGCAAGCAGGCAAGCAAGCACGCAAGCAAGCAGGCAAGCAAGCACGCAAGCAAGCAGACAAGCAAGTAGGCAGGCAGGCAGGCAGGCAGGCAAGCAAGCAAGCAAGCAAGCAAGCAAGCAGACAGGCAGACTGGGTGGCTGGCAAGCAGGAAAGGAGGAGGAGAGGAGACAGAGATAAACACAGAGAAATGCAATGGAAGCGACAGAGAGCGAGAGAAAAAATGGCCGTAGCCTGCGGTGTAATTACCAGGCGTCAATTTGCTGGCTATCTCGCCGAACGGCGATGGTTTCTGCGGCGACGACGCGGACGTGCCCGGTGATGCGCACGACATCGGCATGCACCTCCGTCGCTTGCTGGGCCGGCCGTGGCTGTGCACCGGGTCGAACTCCAAGGACCTCTTGAGCGTGGCGCACGCCATGGTGCTACTACTGCTGTCGGTGGTGGCGCGGCGTTCTCCGCCTCACTATGTGTAGTGTGTGTCCCGTACGCGACTGACACCCAGTCGCGGGCCGCAGTCCCCCAGAGGGGAAGGGTGGGGTGGGTGAGATCGACGTCGGGGCTCTTACGGACGGCCGAGGGCGAGAGGGGCGCGCCTCGTGGACAATACGAACAAACGGTGATGCTGATCGAACGATTGATGGAATCGGACGCTGCGAGGATCTTCGTGACGGCTCGAAATCTGCCGAGAGCTCGTCGCCGAACAGGACGCAGGACGGATTCGTAGGGGCGCGCGCGCACACACGAGGACCAACGCGCAGCTTCGCTGACAAAACAAACACTGCGCTCGTCGCAACAGTATGGCCGCTGTCGCTACGCCCTTCTCCGCCCCTTTCTCGCACTCGCCTTTCCACCGCCGACTGACAACTCGTCACTGTTGTCTCTCTTTTTTCTTTTTTTTCTATCAGTTCGGTTAGCACATCCGGATGATAACATAGAATTTGTAACGCCCATATTCCGATATCCAATAGAAAATCGCACTTCCTGGGGAGTTTGATTAACAATGGACGTTGGAATATACAGCCTGTTCCACATTGGAAAAAAAAAAAAGAGAAAGGCTGAATAATACAAGAAGTTCAGCCAAAAAGAACAGACTTACAAATTTGAATGAGAGCATCCCATTTGACTATGGCTGCGTTCTGTTATTCACTACCAGTACTGAAAATATATAGTTCAGGTGACGTATATTATAGATTTTCAGTACTGGCAGTGAATATCGGAATGCACCCTATGTAATACGTTTATATCGGTCGGTATTTAGGAATTTTCTAGTAAACTATTTATCAAAAAATTGGGAGAATTCCGTTTGACCACGTTTCAATTGGACACAGCCACTTACAGCGACCGATGCCTAGAGATTTTCCACTAGATCAACCAGAAAATTTTATTTTAATTTTATTTTTTATTAGCCACTCAATAACATGTGCCTTTCATTTAGTAACAAGTCGACACAAGTTTGTTCTATCTTTTGACATTCAATGATTAACAAGAACATAATGGGTGCGTTCAGCGAATGCAACAGTTGTGCAACTGTTAACGGAATGTTCGCTGAACGCACCTAATCAGTGAGCGTATTCTCAACATGTTTAGTGAGCGGACGCCATTTTTCTGAGCGATTTTCAAGTACACTCAGTGAATACAACATGTTGTAAGCTTGGCTGGACTTACACTTTATTATGAAAATGGAAAATTTTTATCATGTAAGATCTTTGTATCATGTAAGACTTACTTCTACAACTATTCTCGACATGCTAAAATGTTCTTTAAATAATATTATACAATATTATTATATAATGGAATTATATAACTAACTTCTTTTATAATAATTCTATACTAACTTCTTTTATAATAATTTTTATTTTTCCAACGTATACGACGTCTTGCATTAAAATTATTTGGTAATTCACTTGTAATTCTTCGATAAAATGTGTTATTATATTTCTCTCTATAATATTATCATCTAGCAAAGCCAGAAGTATGAAATTAGCAGCTATTAAATTATAAAAGAGAATTGCGATTTCTGTGAATACGAATGGCACGACACAATAATGCGTTTATATCATTTTTAAATAAAGATTGTATTTTTGTGTACATACATATTGCGCATGTCAATAAATGTAGATCGTTCAGGAAACTGATCACTTTATGCTCAAAGAGTGCTCAGTGATCAGTTGTCCAACTGTTATGTTCGCTGAATCCAGTTATTGTGTTTCTTGTTAAAAATATGTAAACAGTATATTAAACGTTAAAAGTAAAAATTATAATAGATTACTTAATTTCTTTTTGTTTATGTAAAAGGTAAGCATAATTCTCTGAACAATTACTTAATTTAAAAATTTGCATTTATTCTTACAGAAAGTAACAAGAAATTGCAACACAAGAAATTGCAATCTATCCAGACAAACTTGCATAGCAGCATAACTACATGCATAAGGAAACTTACCCAATCACATTTCTATCATAAAGCACATGTAAAAAGCGATTGGATAATGTCCCTTATGCATATGGTTATGCTGCTATGCAAATTTGTGTGGATAAACCCTTATATAAAAACTAAGGTCCAGTGTTACATTAATGTTATTATAGCTTTAAGTAAGACTTAAACCTGTATTTGTTTTTATTTTATTTTTTTAAATAAATAAAGACAGACATATTTAAGTCTTGTTCAAAATAATGTTGGTGCAATCAAGCTTAGATAGCATATTTAAGTTATATATTTTGTTTTAAAATTATAAATTCAATATACATGATTATCTTTATACTTCCTATATGTTTAACTTATTTGGCATATCAAAATTGATATTTCCAAAAGATCAAACTTATATGATTTAATTAACTTTTTAATGAGCATTAATCACATATATCTTTGCATAAGGATACTTACAATTTAACAACAGACCATCAATTTATGTAAATAGATAAAGTCACTCTTAAAAAGATATATACTTGTACTTTGTGTTGTGTTCAAAAGATACTACAATTCATCATTAAATATGAAATATTTTTATATTCTTCATAATAAAAGCTAAATTTGTATTGATATTATACAGAGATATATTAGAAAATTTTCAACCAAGTAAACAATTAGAACTCTTAAAACAATTAGAACATTAATCTCATGACAGATGTCAGGATAATTATAACGATTTTTATCAGAAAATCGTTTAACGTTATGAATATTCAATTCTCATCAGATGAATCCGAAGAGTGATGAATCCACTACTATGTGGTGACTTTTCTATACTTCCTGTAAGTATTCTTAAAAATTTATTTCATAATATTTATTGTAATATTATTCTATTTAATAAAATTCATATTTTATATAAAATTTGTAAATTGAAGTAATATTAATAATACTGAAATACTTGGACTTTAAATCGTTATGTCATATGTGTAGAGTAAATAAATATTTCAATCATGTAGCACAAGATCCTTCATTATATGCAACTTTTAACTTCAAATCATTTAATAAGTCACATGTCAATGAATCACGTTTACCAGTTTGCCAATTATCAAATGAATCATTTAACAAGTTCACTGATAAACATATATTAAATATCTTGATATCAAATATAAACATTTGAAGAAGTTGGATCTTAGCCATACTAGCGGATTTTTTAGTAGTGGAACTCAAAAAGGTCATTAATACATGTGGCAGTTCTTTAACATTTATGTTTGTATTCCATCCAAAATGTCAATGACTTCATCACTCTTGAAATTTCAAGAATATGTAAGAAATTGAAAGATATAAAAGTTGTATAATATATCCAAGAAACTTATATAATACTGAATATCACATACAAGTTTTCTAGATACAATTATTATATATAATACATATTGCAAATATTTTTTTTCTCTTAGAATTGGATCTACGAAAGTGCACTATAACGGATAAAGGATTTTCATATCTCGCAGATCTACAGTCTTTGGAATATTTAAATTTGCAAACAAGTCATATAATAACTCTTACTATTTGTAGAATAGTGCAAAGCAATTATGGTTTGCGTCATTTATCTATAGTAGAAAATGTGAAAGAAATTGATGTAGACAAAATCTTAAAGGAATTAAGAATATACTGTCCAAATCTGGAGCATACAGATTTCCGTAAAAGGATACCTGAAGTACGTAAAAATGTGGGAAAACTGGATGTGAACCAAATCTTTGAGGAATTAAAAAGATACTGTCCAGCTCTGGACTATACAGTTTTCCGTGAAAGTATACCTGTATATACAAACGATGATCTGTATACAAACAGTGAAACACCTACATACAGCAGTTGTAGATTTTTGTCGAAAATATAAAATCTACTATTAAATCTAAACATTTCTAAATCTATACCTCGGTTGTGGTGATACAAATTTTGGATGATACGTATCAGTTTTTTCTAAAACCTTAATTTTCTATAGTATCCACGTTCTTTATTAGAATTTGCATATATTTGTTTTGCTTATCTTGAAACACTATTTTTCTCTTTATTTAATGATCTATAATACTAGAATTTCATTTTGTTTGCAGAGAACAGTTGTACAACAGAAAGCATTATTTCTTTTTCTCCTATCAATATTTGGAAAAAGTCTACTTATTCTATCTTAGAGAATTGACTGATCACAATTTGAAATCATTAGTATTATGCAAAAAATTTAAAATATTTGAATTTGACATGCGATCCTTTACAGATTGATATGTGAGAAATGTACATTTTTTATGCATTTTTTACTAAAGTAGACTCGATCGACTTCTCATTTTGTAACATTTTTGATTAAGTAGTGATAGAAAAGGAGTAGAGATCGGAATAAAGATTTATTGGTAATTATTGCATTTAAAAAACACCATTGTACATACAATTATTGAGTGAGTGTCTACTGAATATATTCTGTTCAGTCAACATGTACTCTGCTATCGCAACATCATTTTGTCATTTTTTCCATCATTCTCTGTTATCTGAGTCCAACAACATGTTGCGAAATAACATGATGGCATTTATGTAAAAGGATAGCATCCCGTTTGACCATGTTTTAATTAGATATACAGCTACTTACAATGACAGGTGTCAGAAGATTTTTCACTGGATCAATCAATCAAATTTTATTTTAAATTGGTCAATCGGCAACGGACAATCGAGCGCTCATATAAAAGATACAGAGATATAAAAATAAATATTAACAATTCTAGCATTGAAATGTACAGTGCTAATATATAGTGCAATTAGAGAGTATAATATATAGTGCAATTAGAGAGTATAATTTTAGACATCAATGATCTCGTTTTTTTTATAATAAATATAATTTTTATATTTATAAAATATGGTAGAATAATTTATATAAGATAAGAATGACTTTTAGACAGATGATATATTTCATGATCAATGTTTTTATATTAAAAATTGTATTCTCAACATCAATCTCTTAATTGTCACCTAGTAAAGGAAAGAACAATTTCAATTTTTATAGAAATATAACTTATCTTTCCTTCAAATTGTATAAAATATAATGAAAGATTACATTCTAAGAACCAAGTCTATTTAGTGGGTTTGATTTGTATCATTAATGCCAGATTCCAACAACGTAGGTTTATTTTAATATCGGATTAACTTACTCTTTATTTTTTGCTAATTCTTAGTGTCGGTCCACAATAGGTGATTTAAGCTTTAAGACGTAAGAATTGACCAATCATAATCTAATATGAAAAGAATAATCGACTATGATAGGTCAATTTCTTAACGGCTTAAAGATTAAATGCCTATTGTGGACCGAGACTTAGAACTAAGAAAAGATGAAGAGTAAGTTGAACCGAGATTAAAGTTAATCTACGTTGGAATTGGGCATAAGTGCTCATTGATCATGTTTCTCAACCGTTTTGCAACTATTAAAATCTGCTGCATTTAAATTTTAATTACGTTTAATTCTAATTCTAAATTTTTATATCTAAAATTTAATATTTATTTCTATTTTTTTTCCTAGTATTTCCTCCATTGTGCGTAGGCCTTAATGTATACTATATTATTATATTTATTATACATAATCGAAATATTAAAGAAAAAATAGAATAATGGATGCGTTCTAATATTCATTGTGACATTCATATTGAAAATATATAGTTTAGGTCACGTATGTTATAGATTTTACTGGTAATGAATATCGAAACGCAGCCGATGATCGCAACATGCAAATCGATCTGAGATCTCGGATAAAAAGAGAATCGACCAATCGTTGACCAATTGATTAATTGGCCGAATTATTTAAACGCAATTAGTCAATTCTCTTTCCATCCAAGATCTCAGACCGATTTCTAGCATCGTGGACACGAGGTATTATGCTGGATTCAGATTCAGGTTTTCTCGGAAAAGCTGTACGCTCATTGGATATCGCGCATCGCGTGTCGCGTTATTGCGCTGGTCTGATCCAGAATTGAGTTCAGAAACACTGGATGTATCATTTTATCCGTGTTTTTTCGTCGAATTAAACAAGGAATTAAACAAGGATAGAACGATATCTGGGTGCACTCGGATGTTATTTCTGAACGCACCCCAGCATTACTCGAAGCTCGGAGACCGGTCTTTAGACGCGGTATGCGTTCGCGCTTGCGCTGTACGTGGTCGTATGCAGAGTGCAGAGATATCTACAAACTTCACACCGATGTATCGTCGATAGTCGCTGATACTCGTTGCTTCCTTGCCAGGAAGGCTAAGTGGTCGGTCGTTGACTTCGCGTAGACGCGGGTGCGGCGTGATGTCGCAGTGAGTGAGGGTGCGGTTTTCGCATTTTTTCGACGCGAGATCTCGTTGATCGAGATCGGGCTGGATGAACGTGCATGCACTCGTACATGCTGCGTGCGTGCATGCATACGTGCGTGCGTGCGTGCATTCGTGTGAGTCTCACCTCTCTCTCCCATTCCCTCTTTCTTTCCCCTCCTTCTTTTACGTACGCTCGTGTACACACCGTAGTTGTTATCGCGGTATCCTCGACGCGTCGCGTCGCGTCGCTCAGCGGCGGACGCACGGAAGCGGGAAGGGAAGCTGGAGGTAGGTTATGAAAAAATCGTGCAAACACTGGACGAGCGTGAGTAATATATCGGCGGTCTGCCTGTCTAAGACGAAGCGTAATCGCACGACTAGTCTCGGGGACGACAGTCTGCTGCGCTTTTACATGAAGGAACAGGATATACCCGAATACCTGGAGGGCTGCGGCCTGTCAGCCTGCACCGCGAGCTCGGCCAGCTGCGACATGCCCGAGGACGTAGTGGTGATGCGCGACACTAAGGAGAAGAAGCTCTCGACCGCCTCGATCGGGAGCTGCAGCAGCAGCCAAAGCGACACCAAGAAAATCGTCATGGTCAAGCATCCGGAGTCGAACAAACCGAAGCCCACCACGAAGCGGAGCAAGCCGATCCGAGCAGACTTGGATGTGACTAAGGAATTTATTCGGTGCAAGGAGGAATGCGTGAAGCGGTTGGACCTCAGCAAGGCCAGCATCACGAATCTGCCCAGTTCTGTGAAAGAGTTGACACATCTGAGAGAGCTGTACCTCTACGGCAACAAACTGGCGACCCTGCCGGCGGAGATCGGCCGTCTAGCGAACCTGGAGACGCTCGCGCTGAGCGAAAACTCGCTCACCAGTTTGCCCAACACCTTGGAGAATCTGACATCGCTACGGGTACTGGATCTGAGACATAACAAGCTGAATGAGATTCCAGACGTGGTGTACAAGCTTACGTCGCTCACCACATTGTTTTTGCGTTTCAATCGCGTCAGGTATGTTAGTGATAACGTGCGCAACCTGACGAATCTCACCATGCTGAGTTTCCGAGAGAACAAGATCAAGGAACTGCCCGCTGGAATAGGCGAACTAGTTAATCTTATTACCTTCGACGTCTCGCATAATCACCTGGAACATCTGCCCGTGGAGATTGGCAAGTGCGTGCAGCTGTCCACTTTAGATCTACAGCACAACGAACTGCTCGACTTGCCGGACACGATTGGTAATCTGGTGTCGCTGACAAGATTGGGTATTCGGTATAACAGATTGACGCATATTCCGGCCTCACTGGCGAATTGTAAGGCAATGGACGAGTTCAGCATAGAGGGCAATCAGGTATCATGTTTGCCAGAAGGTCTGTTAGCAAGCTTGTCGGAACTGACATCGATTACACTCTCCAGAAACAACTTTACCAAGTACCCGCAAGGCGGGCCGGCCCAATTTGTAAACGCCTATTCCGTCAATGTAGAGCATAATCAGATCGACAAGATACCCTATGGCATCTTCTCTAAGTCCAAAAACCTCACGAAACTGAACATGAAGGAGAATTTGTTAAACACTCTGCCGCTGGATATCAATTGTTGGGTGAACATGGTCGAGCTGAATCTGGGTACTAATCAGCTGACGCTTCTCCCGGATGACATACAGTGCCTGCAAAGTCTGGAGATATTAATACTCTCCAACAATCAACTGAGGCGTATCCCGACCACTTTAGTGAATTTGCAGAAGTTGCGAGTGCTGGACCTGGAAGAGAACCGCATCGACCTGCTACCGAACGAGATCGGCTTCATGAGTGAGTTGCAAAAGCTTATCCTGCAGTCGAACCTGATCACCGTATTACCTCGCACGATCGGTCATCTGAAGAATCTTACGTATCTTAGTGTGGGCGAGAACAATCTGGCTTACGTGCCAGAGGAGATTGGCACCCTGGAGAACCTGGAATCGCTTTACATCAATGACAACCCGGGCCTGCACAATCTGCCATTCGAACTGGCATTGTGCAAAAATCTTGGTATTATGTCAATTGAAAACTGTCCACTGTCGCACATACCGTCGGACATAGTCAATGGTGGACCATCAATGGTCATTCAATTTCTCAAGATGCATGGTCCTTATCGACCAATGTAATTGTCGATAATTATTTTGTTAAGGTTGCGTCTTATATAAGATTCAGAGTCACGTGGATGTCGATTCTTAATCATGAGAAACAAGAAAAGAAGAAAGAGAGAGAGAGAGAGAGAGAGAAAGTTATGAAGAAATCGTTCAATGACATACAAAGAAAATGTATTTATAACGATCCGTGTATCGTTAAATTCTCATTCGAATGATCTCACTTTAAAGGAATGTATAAATACTATTGGACTATTCTATATAAAACGAATTATATTTAGTAAGCGAACTTTGTAATAAAGTTGATCAGAAATTATCAGCAAATTGGCATTAACTATGTCCATATTAAGCTGGAATTTTAGCTGATAATTGAGTGCTGACAGAAATAGAGCAGAATCTTCAGATTATAGTGTCGCTAATCTGATTCAAACTGTGTGGCATACATGTTCAAGTTTGCTAGATTTTTGCCATTATAATCTGTTAACAAACTTTGCTGTATTTCTATTAGCATTCTACTGATCTTATTGTATATGCCAGATCCAGTATCAAATCTGTACTCTTTCTGCCGACAGATACTTTGCAAAATCTGTTCTATCATCTTTCAATTTGCAGAAAGGTATCTATCTAATTGCGGAAATATGAAATAACGAGTAATATACAAATTGAATGAGAATTTTTCTTTCCGCGAACAAGAAAAGGATGTGCAAAATGGCTCTTGTGCAATCCGAGATATTTCATATTAGATCTCATGACAATTTTATTAACAATTTTTTTATAAACTATGAAATATATAAACTGTATTTGTATATTTTATATTTGCGCTTTTACGTTCACGTTATTATATTTATGTTATATTGTTCATGTTTTATCAAAAGATATGATAAAACATGAAAGATATGCTTTGCTAAAGATCATATCGAAAGATATGAGCACTACTAAAGAAATATATGTTGTATAAAAGAACCTTTTTAATGTAATAACTCACTCTTCTTTTTTACGCATGAAATTCGACAATTCTAAATTATATATTAATCTTATTAAATTTATTAGAAATAAATAATACATTTTTATTATTAATAATTGAGTCAGTATTTTAAAAGATTAATATTTTGACGTTGATTTTAATTTAAATTGAAAATGAAATGAAATATGGATTTTTTTTTACTATATACAGAGAAAAAATTTTACAAAACTGTCAAGAAATGTCCACTACGTATGTTGTAATTAATTTTTTAGAATTTAGTGAATTAAATAATCCGTCTTTGTATTTTACATTTATTGAAAAAGTTTAAGAATTTAGACATATTTTAAACACGCGAACATCTTTATAAGCAACAAAATTGCGCGACAGAACATATTGTTAGAAAGGATATAATAAACGTCTTATATGTATGTATTATATAATAGGGATGAGATAATATTTTGATAGCGAAAAAAATGTTAAGAATCGGCATCAGTGACATTGTTTGCTGTATTACAAGATTGAGACTTCGTATATAGGTGCAAGAAAACATATTTTATTAAAATATTTAAATCGAAAAGTTGTGAATACGAGCATACAAAACGAATGTCAATACACATAAGTTTCCACACATGCACACATTCTTCGGTATCGTATATGCGATATATTGTTTCTCATTTGTTCGTCAATGGGCATCATCTTATAAAGTACAAAATATATTGTATGTCTAACAATAAGATCTTCCATGGAAAGTCACACTTTTCTGATGCATAATTCTATTTATCTGACTTAGCAGTTTGTACTGAAGAGCAAACGTATTAGCAATTTTTATTTAAGACAATAAATTTAAGCTGTAAAATGAAGACTACATCCATATGTCTGTGAAAGTAAAGATTATGTAAAGAAAGAAAGCAAAATGTGAACAATAATCCACGTATATGAAGTAACGATATAATATACCAATATTTAAAAGATCTATTTTTGTTATATAATTCAAAATAATTAGCAACGATGTGTTTTATCGAGATTCATGGAATGATTGTGAGATAAACTTATATGTGCAATTATTTCTGGGAAATAGAGCAAGATTTCTTATGGTTACATCTCTCTGCGTTGTTTAAATTAGATAAATATAGTTGAACAAGTTGGCAAAAAGAAGAGAATTCGAGGATAAAATATATGTTATGCTTTGTCAAGAGATTGTCAAAAGAATTTTCGAGACGACATTCGAGAGTGACATTGGGCAAGGAAATGATGACGATGAAGATATTCTATAACTGTACAAAAAGATAAAAAATGCGGATCTTATTATATTTGATTTATATGTTGTGTTATATGTTGTGCGACAATTAAAGCAACGAAGCCTCTGTACTGTTTTAGGATGCATTTTCATTAGATTAAAAAGATTGCGCTGCCAAATGCAAAGATAAAAATAGGAAGAAGAATAAGAAAAAAAATAGAAGACGCGATCGAGCATTTCCTTATATAGATATATACTTCGCTAAATTCCATAAAAAACGATTGATACTACACTTCATCTCATCTTATCTCATCTCTTCTCGTCTCTTCTCGTCTCTTCTCTTCTCTTTCTCACTCGTCTTTCCTCTTTCTCTTTCTCTCATATCAACGTTGTTGTTCTGCTTTTGTCTTTGCACAAAGAACTAGTGCCAATGTAATTATAAATTTATATGTACTATATATATTCATAAATATTTGTATGAGCGTTATATTATTGATGATAAATATATATTATCATACGTGTATGTGTGCGTGTGTGTATACAAGGTATATAGGCTCGCATTTAACAATGTGCCTACAGATTTTATGAGTCTTGAGTTCTTCTAGGATTTTTGTGACTTATCGACTTTTTCATTCTGAATAATTTTTTCACACTTGTGTACATATTGTTAAACCATATTTCTCTATATAAATGGCATAGCCATATATATTATATGTATGTCGCTGTAATATCATAATTTGCGATTGTAATTAGCTAATTTGTTCTTACCATATCGTTTTCAATATCTTAGCATACATTATGATGTTAATTACGCTTACTTAAATGTCGAGTCTCCACTGTTATCGCACATTTAACGTTATAAGTAATTATTGTGTAATTTTATTCGATTAATTTAATTAGAAATTAATGTTTCTTCTGATAGACGATAGTCTTATTCATTATTGTTGAATGTGCGAATATAATTGGAATTGTCGCGTGCTTCGTAAATAAATTCGAAAACTTGAATCGTAACGATTACTTTCTAATGCGTGTTCGCAATCGTGAATCAAGACTCGTAACCGTGATCCGTTAACACGCAATATGCGAGAATACATTTGCCGGGGATGATTTGCGAAATTACAAACGGCTTACATATATGCAGCATTGTTTGCAAATTCTAGATTATTTAGCGGTCGCCGACATATCAAATATTAAATGAATTCTAATAATCAACTAATATCTAACGCTGTAAAAATCTCTATCGTAGTTGAGGATTCCGCGAGAATGGAGGCGTCTGCCGTGTCAGATTAATCTCTATTGTCCGCGAATAGACAATAGGCGTATCTTGTGAAAGAAAAAAAAAGTTGCAACTACTATGGCTGTGTGATAAAATTTTTATTCAAGTGCTATTATTGTCCCTAAATATCAATTAACAGTCATTATCACGTTTTCTCCTTTTTTTCCTTCTCTCGCTCTACGTATCATAAATTTTAAACTCTTGTTTTCCATTACGCAGCAGTTTTAGCTACGAGGGGACATTCACTTCGATGTCTATTGAAAGCGCTCGATAATCAATTTTACGATTATAGATGTCATTCTGATTTTCCTTCGATATTCAACGTGACGAAGTTTGCTATTTGGTGTTACTATTGTAATTTTATGATGATTTGCCAATTCCGTCATTATCATTATAGACGTGTCGCGATCTATTAATTGTACAATCTGTTATCTGTTTCTTAATGTACGAATTCTAAATCGCACGCACAAACATGATCTGGAATTGAAGATAGGACTTGGCAAATTCTCCGTTAAAAAAACAAAGTTAACTGAAATATTCCCTCCACGTGGAGATTTTCAATGCGTTATAAATTTCACTTCTATATTCTGTACACATCTATATCTTTCGTATATACACATATCTACCGAGAGAGCAAAAGTACATTTTGCAAAGATGAGATTTGAAATAAGAATATTCGTTGCTGAAGAACCACCGTTATCGTCGTATCGCGGATAAATTACGTTAATTTGCAGATTCGCTCCCTTAGATTATATGTACATACAGGACTGTGAATTAAAAAATGATTAGCGATATCAGAGATGCGTCCTCATTTGCAAAGATTATTATCTTATAATCCGCTATAACGATACGAATCATCACGCTGCGCGGGAGGAAATGCTGCAAAACTTAATTAGTACAACTTAAAAGAGCAACATCGGACGAACATTCTTGCTGATTAATGAGTATATTGGATATTTCTGAAAGTGAAAACTTCTTTCATTGTATTACATAGGATAAAGGTTGCGGTGTAACGGTCGCCATGGACTCCCACTTACGCGAACTATTAATAGTGAAATGCGTCTTATCGAAGACGTAAGCGGTTCATCGATATTAGACGAAAGATTTCCCTTTTTAAAAGTACACAATTTAAAAGCACACAATTTAACTCGGTATTATGTAACATTCTGTAGAAACAGTGTACATTGCGTGCGAATTAATTTTTTATCTTTGAAATCTTTGAATTTTAGCAGTAATATAGTTTTACATATCTGTTGCTTTTAATGTATTTTACAAGCTACGTGTTATCCAGAACGATAAATGATGTACGTTAGTGCTTTTGTAACTTTTATTTTATACACTTTTATTTTATGCATATTATTAATCTCGTTTATTGTAAAATATTAAATAGAAAGTTTGATAAAAATGCTAAGTCATTTACGCTATACATATATTTTAATTTATAAAATATATTTAAGGTAAATATAGGAAACAGTATAAATTAAATTAGAAAAGAAAATATGTTTAAATATGTTTTTTCCAAAATCTTGGATTGCATTTTCAGTTTAACGACAAAAATTTCTCGTTAAGAAAGAATAGGATAGGAAGGATAATAGGAAGGTATGAATGTTAGCATATTCTACATATGAAAGCTAATTTTAAAAGATACTATATGTTAATTAATGTTAATTTTTTATAGTATTATATGAACGATGTGGCGGCCGTTTAACGAATTAGTTTCTAGATATCGTAATGAAAGTCTTCGCACGTGGAAAATTCAAGCCATTCGCATGTAAGTTGCCAAGATCGTTGATACAGTACGATTAATTGTGATAAACTGTTAAACAGTTTTAAAAAAAGGAAAAAACGAAACATGAGATTTATAGACACACATAGTCCATGGTTTGCAAGCGATAAGTTTACGTGACAATTGCAAACGCCCAGTACACTATTCCGAGAAAGTAAATGCTTGTTGAATAGTCTATTGCGCAACACACGATATTGTGTTAACTGTGTATAATTTTAAAAATGTAATATTAAATGTAGTTCAATGTACATTACGTGATAATACGCAGGGCGCTGTATAAATATTTCTAAACACGCAAATATATTATAAAATATTTTCCTGAAAATCATATTTCTCGCTTCATTGTGCGATCTTCCTCCGATCCTATCAAGATTTGATAAAATTTTTGCGTATCTTTTTAAAATTATTTGTATTTAATTCTTAATTTGATAATATAATATTCTAAAAATAATAAAACAGGTTATAAAAATCGTTTATAAAGGTCGTTATAAAAATTTATTGAAAAAATTTTGAATTTATTTAAAATCAAAATATTTCTTAATCAAATTTAATTTTTATAGATATATTAATTATTAATAATAATTATTATGCTCGCGGTACTCTTGAAATCTGATAGAAATTTCACTACGTTTTTTTAGGGTAAACCTTTTAAATCTTTTGTTGCTCGTGGACTGTAATAATCATTAAAATGTATTAAATCTTATTATTACTATACTTAAAATAGCCGGCGAAGAAAGAAAATAATTTCGTACATACTTGTGTAAATACATTTGTAATCATTGTATTCGTAGTGAGTACAATACTTCTTTCAAGAGGCAATTGAGGATAATTCTTGGTAATTATTAATTCTTTCTTAGGCATAAGACCCGGTTTGCTGTTCTCCAAATCTATGAAATTATTAGAAATTTGTTTATAATCACATAATATTAATATTAAAAATCAATAGAATACTATTCTGACAAAAATTAGCACAAAAATATTTTACACCGACTATGTGTACGTGTGTGATTACAATAAAGAGATCTAAGAATGACTTATTGTTAAAATTATATCAAAATTATATCGTTAAAATTATATTGCATACCTAAACGACCTGGAGCCTTCTTACGTCGTTTGATTTTATTTTCATTAGGAATTACTTCATCATATAACGGTACTGATATCATCTCGAGTTTGCACAAGGACTCCGGTGGACGTACCAGTCTAGAATAAGTTGCAAATTTTCACACAAAATTATTGGAATTGTTTTAGAATGTTAATTATACATATATCACAAATAATATATTGTAGACACACCTCAGTAATTCTGTAGCGTCATCTGAAATCAGTTGTAACTTTCGTAATTTCGTTAAAGCGGTCTCCACCTCTCGTTTGACATTCCTTCTCTGATTAAGACTAATCATTTCCGTTTTGATAGTATCGATTTCATTTGAGAGATTCATCAATTCTAAGCTCCTTTCCGCATCTAATGGAATTATCTTCGATTTAACACGCGCGAATACAAGAGGCAGAACCCACCCTTCAAGGGTGACCATACTGTGATTAATTCAATTGACAATTAATTAACATTGTTACTATGTTATTATGAACAAATTATAAATCTTTTGTTGTTTAATGAATAAAAAAATAGATTAGAAGCAATAAATTATATCAGTTCAAGATTATGCTTTAAAGAACTACGTGAGATAATTTATGTCCATTTCTACTAATGTAGATTAACTTTAATTTATTTTTTAACTTTTTTAGTTTTAAATGGTAAAAAAGATAAAAAATAAATTAATTCAGAATTAAAATTAATCTACATTGCAAAAATAAACATTCGTCGATTAAATTAATCAATTATCCGATTATCAAGTAATCTCTATACTATTTTGTTAGATAGAATTATTAATTTTTATTCAATATTTAAAAATATATTAAACTGCGAGTAATAAATAAAAAATATAGTTAAAAATTTTTTGCTTTAAACGATTTTGTTCATGAATTAATTGTTGACAAAATTAATCGGAGCTTGGTCGAAATTGTCTTTAAATCTTTGTATAATCGTCTTTACAGTCACTTCTTTGCTTTATGCAATGACCGGTCTCCATAATGAAGGGATGATATTGAAAGATAACAAAGAAATCGTGTTCTTTTGAGAACTGCCATATCTGTTCGCATAACGAGTCCTCCAGGGACCATACTTGATAATTTAATTCATCCTAAATTAAAAAAGAAAATATTTAAAAATAAGCCTCTTTAATTTAAGATAAGGCGATTCAATAATTTAATAAATTGTATACACAAACTTATGGAGAATTTTAAAGAAATTAATAATAAAATAGTTTTAAATATTCATAACACCGCTGAAAATTGTCTTGTTAATATTATTGCTGATTTAGCAATTCTTCTTCAAAGCTATAAGTTGAATATGTTATTAATATTCAAGAGATATTTGAATCTCATTATCGTTTAGATATTTAGATATTTAGGCGTTTAGAAAGTATTTATAACCGCAAGGTATATATATTTTATATTACATTTCATCTTATATAGTTGCGTATAAAGCGATGTTTTTAATTTATATCACAAAAATGCGTTTAAGTAATTTTATACCTAATTGTACTAATGTTAAATTCTTTTTAACTTATTTTTTAACTATCTTTATAAGAATTTCAAGATTTTCTAAAATTAAGGGTGGGGATAGGAATATTAAAAAATGACTTGAAAATCCTTTAAAAATATTTGAAAATCTTTTATCTTATCTTAAAAAGAAATTATTTAGTTACAAAATTTATTGATTTATTACCAGCTTTTGTTTCTCTTCCTTCAGTATCTTTTCTCTTTCTAAAAAGTTGTTTCGATACATACTTATTGTATCTTTGATAACTTCCAGTTCAACGCTTTTACGTCCATATTCAATTAAAACAGAATTAGGAGAAGCAATTCTTGTATTATTCGTGAAAACGATGTTCTTGATATCATTCATCTTTATTACTTGACATATCAAACTAAAACAAAATTGTTCTAAATTATAATTATATATTACAGAATTAAATTTTAGCGATATATGAAATCGATGGCTTTCTATTTCGAGTTTACATTTAAATTGATTTTTCGAATAACAAAATTTAAAAGCCATAATTGCTACCAACATAATCGCACAACGTAAGAATCCAAATATTTTCTTCAAATGACGATTAATTTATCAAAAAATATTACTATTCACTGATATGGAAATGTAAAATTATAAATTTTCTTGTTGTTTAACGTGGGAATAAATTAGATCAGAAACAATAAAGTCATATAATAGTTAAATACTTTGTTATGGAAGCTCACGTGACTATTCAAATTTAGACACAGAGTTTGCTCATGATAGAATATTAATTTTATGACTTATTATTATTTGGATATTTCTTAGATATATTTATAACATGATAAATTTTTCTATCGTCGATTTTAGACATTCTGCCCATTGGATTATTAATATTAACTTTTATTAACAATTATTGTAGAATTATTGTTTGAATAATTAATTTATAATGTATTATTAAATTTATGATTTATTATTACAGAGATATTTCATAAGTAATGCATATATTTATGACGTTATAATAAGATATTCCAACAAAAATAGAAAAATTTATTTTCTACGATTATCATTCGAATATAAATAAAAATGCAATTTTAAATTTTTATTTATTTATTATCATGTTATAAATATGTCTAAGTAATATCCAAATAATAAGATAACTTTAAGAGATCTTTAAAAGTTCTTTAAGAAACATCTTTAAAATATTTCATAAAGAATTCTAAAAGATATCTTAAAATTATTTTGTGCGTCAGATATTCTGTTTTTTAGATTTTGTTCACTGAGAATCAATGATATTGAACTCTTTAATTACTTCCGAATTCTCCAAACCTCTTTAATGAAAATCATAAAAATTTCTTTAGGATTGATAGTATTTAGCATCTCATCGGTGATGCCGAATGGTTTATGTTCACTTCTATCAATTATATTCGAATATAAATTAATTTCGATTTAACTTATTTTTTTTTCTAAGAATTAGAAAAAGGTAAAAAATAAATTGAATATGAGAAATAAATAAAGAATAAATTAATAAATTAAATCGAGATTAAAATTAATAGAGTTCAATAGAAATGGATATTTGTCAAAAAGATAGATTTACCGGAATATGCGATTAGTTTCTTTCTTCGACCAATAAGCGCACGGTTAGACTGATCGAATCAACGAATGAGGGATCGTCGTATCTGCTAATGCGCAATGGAAACCAAAGTTGTTGCGAAAGGAATCGCGATTCCTTGGCATGTAAACAAAGTTCAAAACACGGGATTGCACGCGCGAGATCGGAAACGTGATCAAGCGTAATCGTGGATCGCACGTTTCCTGGTCTCTCACAGGGTTATCCGGGACGTGCTGGCCATGAGTTCCAACGGGATAAAGTTGCTAGAAAAAACGTAAGTTTCCTCTGATTGTGCCCTTACAATCGGCGAAGTCGATTTCCATGTTAACCTTGAGACATTTGTGCGTCAATAGGAATGAAAATGGGTAAACGTATCATTTGCGATTTTTCTGATTTTTCTCTTTATATTTGCAGCGACCCGTATCCCCAGGGAGTGCGATGTCAGAAGTGCCTGGAAATGGGACACTGGAGTTACGAGTGCAAAGGCAAGAGGAAGTACCTGCACAGATCCTCTCGTACTTCGCAACTGAAAAAGGCACTACTGCAACAGAATAATGATAAGTATGTTGTCAAGTCCTCCCATTATGTACGGGATGTGTCTTCCTAAATCATCTATTCTCTTGAAAAAGAAAGAAATATATTTTGACACATCGAAGATATTTTATTCGGTTAAAATTAGAATATTTTTGAACAAAAAATATTTTTCTTTAATAAGCAGATAAGCAAAGCGAATATAAGATGGAGACTTTTGATATTTGATGTTAAATGATGCAAAATGTCTTAAGCATAATTAAGATAAATTTGATTTCAACTAATATTGTTTCATATTTCAGTCAGGAACAAAATAAAAAAGCAAAGATGAGTCATGTCAGAAAGAAAATGAGGAAGGAAGAATCCAGTAGTTCAAGCGACTCAAGTACCTCCAGCAGCGAGAGTACCAGTAGTAGTGAAAGTAGTAGCAGCAGTTCTTCATCGGACAGCGAATCAGACTCCAGCGATAGTGTGTCTAGTAGCAGTAGTAGCAATAGCAGTAGTAGCAGCAGTTAAGGTTCCTATAAAAAGAAATAATACAAACCATTGAATGAAGAAGAAATCAAAAGAAATTTTTTTTTCTTCGGTCATTTAATCTTGCCTTTTTAAAATATTATCTTACACATTGTCTGGGCACTTAAATCCATTTTTGCTTTCAAGTGGATTGACTTAAGCAAGGAAAATACAAACTGAAGCAAAATAAAATACTAGTGAGAGATCCTTTATATATCTTTTATGAGATATATGTACAACAGATACATATTTTTTCTTGAATGTAGATATAAAACATACTTGTTGGAACTTGTAATAGCTGCTACTTTTTAATTTTATAATTTTATTATGTTAAGATTATTTGTGTTATATTTCTACTATTTAGCTTCTATATGACATGTATGTAATATGTAGTAGATTCATGATCGATATTAGATGCAATATTTCACTCAATTTTCGTTTTAATGTCCACTATCCCCTTCTTATCACTTGATCTAAATAATGAGCCCCATAACTAAAGTTCTGTATAAAGACTGATTTAGAAACTGCATTATGAATTTGATGGGATTGTATCCTCTAAAGTATGGAACATCTCTTCTTTTTAAATAATAAAGCGTTTTCTATTATGATTCTTATAATGCTACTCATGTATATGTGTATGTGTGTGTGTGTACATATGTATAAATATAGGTATATATATGAATATATATATATACAAATTTTCCGTGCAATCATATTCTATATTTTAAAAATAAGAGTTATATATTTAACATAAAAATTTATATATAATTATTTTTATTAACTTTAAGCTTTAAATACAATCTTTTTCTTAAGAATTATAAAAACTCTCTCTCTATAAAAAATTAATATATAATAAAAAAATTTTTAATTTATAAAAAGAATTTTTTAAAAGAGAAAACATCTCAATATGATAACAGAAGATCCAATCCTATTATTCATAGAACTATTTCAAATGTGTTATCATATATAAGGCAAAGAATTATGTGTATTAATAAGAAAAAAAGTTGCATCTAATATTTATCACTGCAGAATATAATACATGTACATAAATACACACACGCGCGCGCGCGCGCGTACGTGTGTGTGTGATATGTATATATATATATACATATATATATTGAAATAGATTTTGATTTTGTGAAAGTTTGCATTACGTTAATAATAAGATTGTTGCTTTCGCATAGAGCTTTTAAATTTTTTATATTAAATATAAATTAAAAGATAATTGCTAATTAATATATAGAATCGATAAATATAATGCATTATTTTTGGTACTACTATACGCACATTTGTATATGATATAATTGTTCCATTTATTAAAAACGTGATATATTTACTGACGACGGAATGATTATATATCATGATGATTATATTTGTATAACAATATTCAATATTCAACAATGATATAAAAGATGTTAATCGATGATGTCAGACATCTTGATATCAATGTCGATATAAAAATTTTATATGTGAGCAAATAAAAAATTACTTTTTGTTATATAATTCAAATACATGAATAAAAATTATAAAGCGCTTTTCTCCGGATCAATCTTCGATACCTTCAGGCAGAGTCTGTACTATTACTTTCCTTCTTGGTTCGTAAACAAAATTGTTCGTCTTGAATATGTCACTCTCATAAAACGGATGCAGATTGTGTATGTCAATTTGTTTTGCCTGCAATCATGAAACACTAATTATTAGCACGTACGCAGTAAAATGAGTTTTATTTTCTACACGAAAGTTACTAAAATGAAAATATAAACAATGTAAGATAAAAAATTTTTATGTAAACTATTTTCTTAAACTAGTTAGAATAAGATAAAAATTTAGTTGTGAACTGTTTTCACATAATTTTTAATTAGTTTATAATAATTTTTAACTTGTATACTTATTAACTGTTCATAACAATTCTCAAATGTAAATTAAACGTAATCGTTTGCATTACTCGTTCTAATAGATCCTTTTCCGAGATCTCGACGGTCGTGATACGTCCACCGTGCAGAGCTTTCTGAAACGCTAAAGTATCTAAAGTGATTTGTCGCAATATGTAATACAAAAGTTCGCTGTGATCTTTCTTGTATGACAGATATTTCTGGAATGTCTGTAATGAAATGTATATATGTGTATTAAAAAAAATTAGTTTTCAATTGAGCAAGCAAAAATAAACAGAAAAAGCAAATGAACAGAAGTAAAGAGAAAGAGATATACCTGACGCATAGATTTCATAACAGAATATTTCTGTGTATCAACAAAACTGTCAAGAACTATCCTGATAGCTAAATTCATATCACTCTCCTGAACGTGATCCCTCAAATGCATCTTGGCACTAGCTTCCGCCATACGAATAATACTCTCGATATGACGCACGGTAATCGGTAAACTGCCGGTCGCCTAAAATATAATATTGCATTGTCTTTTTTATATTTAATATTTAATATTTTTATTTAATAATTTTTTTTTCAAGAACATATATAAACAGGCGACAATTATGTTTTATTGACTCACCAAACTTTCTTGTCTCAATTGGCTGTACAGTTTAGCCACTTTGTCCTGATCAATACTAGTTAGTTTTGGATGTACGTTCTGCTTCGCATAAACAATATATTTTTTTAAAAGATCCTGTGGAATGCATAAATTTTGTGTGGCGGGATCTAATACTACAGTTCTATCTGTCCTCTCCGTACTATCCGTCGGATGATGCTTGATGTGCGAATTTACGACGAACTTGGCCAGATGACGATCTTGCATAGGATCAATTTCATCTTTGACTATACACAATATGTCAAATCGCGACAAAATCGGCTCTGATAGATCTACCTACAATTTAATATCACATAACACATAATTACTAGTTATTCCTATATATTCATAATTTTAGTCTTAAAAAAGAAAATAATTTTCTATAATTGTATATTTTATTCACAAGTTATGATCTTGTGTAAAAACAAAATTAAAATATTCTAAAAGTACATACATTTTCCGAAAAGGTCATACTAGGGTCGTATCGACCACCGATAGGATTAGACGCCGCAATCACTGCGCATCTGGCGTGAAGAGATGTGACGATACCGGCCTTCGAGATAGAAATACTCTGCTGCTCCATAGCCTCGTGAATAGACGTTCTGTCTTGGTCATTCATCTAAAAAAAATAAAAATGATATAATTCTAAATTTCTAATAACTATAACTCATTAAATTTGCATAAATAGATGTATATATAATATTAATGCTATATATAGATAAATTATCCTATATATAATTATTCATATAAAACCTATAAATATTGATTATATTTCTTACTCTTTTCCTTTCCCTCTTTTTCATTTCTTTTCTCTAACAATGATTGTTGATAACAATTGTTACAATACTTATGCAAATATTTATTATATAAATATTCATATCAAATGTTATAGTGTTACTAATGTCATATAAATTATAAAAATTTGTACTTTATCAAACTCATCGATGAGGCATATTCCGTGATCAGCAAGAACCAAAGCTCCAGCTTCTAAAGTCCATTCTCTATTGACGGGTGATCTCCTAACATAAGCGGTCAAACCAACGGCAGAAGCACCTTGACCTGTGGTGAAAACAACTCTCGGTGCCACTTTCTCCACATATTTCAAAAATTGTGACTTAGCTGTGCCAGGATCTCCGCATAATAGAACGTTTATATCACCGCGAACCTTATGCTTGTTGCCTGTAAATCATGGTATAATAAGAACGAGTATGTATATGTATTTGCAAGATTTAAATTTAATTTAAAGAAGAAATAAATACCAGGATTCTTTGGCTCGCCGCCGAATATTGCCAGTGCCAAGGCTCTCTTAATGTTTTCATGACCGTAAATCGAAGGCGCGATACTTGCGACTATGCGGTCCGCGATACGTTGATCTTTACTTAAAGCGAGTATACTCGATATATCCTCTTCCGTCAATGAGTCTACAATTTCTTTCGAATCTTTGACAAATAAATGATTAGCTAATAATACTGTAGAGAATACTGGGAAACCCTGTAATACAAAATAGTTTTATCCCTATCTTCCGAAGCATTTGCTGCGGAATATGTTAATAAAAATAAAAAAAAATAAAAAAAATAAAAATTAAAAAAACAAGATGTAATTATTTAATATTTAAAAAATCTTACCTGTTCAGTGTTCAAAGAACCATCGTAATTATTGGTATAAATAGCTGTAACGTCTATCTCATCTCCTGGTTTGCAACGATCACAGAGGTCGGACAGCAAAATGCAATCTTTGCTGCGTGGTATTCTACCAGCAGGTATCCTACCCGGAGATTCTTGTATCGTTATCTTTTGATAATTTCTGTATATAGTTTGCTCCATATTGATCTGTGAAAGACGGACATTTACAATTAAATAACTTTTATAATGTATGTATACTTTCTTTAAATAATTTTTTAATAATTAGATATAAAAATTGAAAAGTAAAATTTACCGTGAATGGACCGACACTCTGACATTCGGGACAAGAGCCTGGTTTGACTTCTGTATTTTGAGATTGGACGAATGGTCCGAGAATGTAATTACATTTTGTACAATCGTACTTCACTACTGATAATTGCGGGAGAACTCCCGTAGTTGCTGTTACAACTCCAAGAGTTCGGACTAATTGATTCAAGTGGAGTTTTCTATGGTAACAAAGTAAAAATGATGTGAAAAGAATAATTTTCATATTTGTATCGTCAAGATCGCAAGTTGAATAAGATAATATTAATTAGATAATACATATCAAATAGATGTAGATTACCTGAATGTGCGTAATTCTTCAATTAATGGCAGTTCTGATATTCTCACGTGAATCTCCGACGTGACTCTCTCGTAACTGGGGAAAATCGTAAGAACTAATTCCTTTGCCACTTCATCAAATATCTCGAGCATTTGAAATGGAGCTTCTGGTAAAAAATAGGCCAAAACGTGTTCCTTACTGGCAAGAATGGGAAATTCCACTATGAAACTGGACTATTAAAATAAATATAAGAACCTCTCGTGAAATAAACATTGTTAAATAAAGAAAGAAATATAATATATATATATTTCAAAAAGAAAGCATTTTATCTTTTTAGAAATAAGAAAATTTCATATAAATATAAAAAATTATAAAATTATTTAAAAAATAAAAAAATATTAAAAAATTAAGAATAAACTATAGAAAATATTTTTTTAATTAAAGAATGCAAGATACTAGAATATAAGAGATTTATGTAAGAGTTTTAACAGTACCTGATTACTCTCACACATATGGCGAATACGTTCTTTATACATGTATTGTCCTTTGGAATTGGTATGAGTACGAAGAAAAACTTTTAAAGCGGTTTGAAATTTCCGTTCGTGGTCCTAACATCATAACCCATTCCTTTACTGAGTGTCCTTTAGTATCCTCCAAATTTTCAATAGATTCGATCATCTAAAAAAAACGAATATATTTTGTTATTTGAATTATTATAAAATCATTGTACATGAAATAGTTAAGATTGTTACTTCTGCATCTTCTAATATGCCTGTGGCAGCCTTTTCAGCCATACGTCGTTTGCGTGCTTGTACATCTTCTTCATCAGTTTCATCTAAAAGTACAAAGTAACACCAGCATAAAAATGTGTGATAATTTTATAAATACAATTTGAACTTTTAGATCATTGTATCAGAATTATTTCATTTGTAAAATGTTATAAAATGTTTTATATCTTTGGATATCAAGTAAATATTAAAACAGTTACCATAAAGAAGATCACGATCATCTCTTATAACACCAGCCGCACGATCTCTCTTCCGCATTTCTGCTTCAGCAGCTATACGTTCACCCTGAGATAGTTCTGAATATTCTTCGTCATCCAATAAATTAGGATCGTATCTGTCCAATGCTGACATAGGTCGATAATCTCTGTTTTAACAATATATAGTTGATTGTTGATTTAAATATAGTTGATTTAAATTTTCTTTCTTATTTCAATAATTTATTCAATTAAAGTCTCTTAATATTTATTTGTAAAAAATATATGTCAAAAGTTGATATATATTTTCTTGTATTATACTTATTTATATTATATATATTATATTTATTATATTTATATATATTATACTTATTATATTTATACCCATTATAATTATTTCTATGTATAAAAATGAATACTTTAAAAATAAAATATTCTTACGCCTCCATATTATCTCCAAATAATTCCTCCCCTTCTTCTTCTTCCTCATTATTGACATTATTTTCTCCATCAAGTAAATCAGATTCATCTTCAAATGGTTCATCTATATCGGGTGCAGGAGAAGTTTGTTGGCTCATTGTATCTGTGTGTCGTTCAGAACGTACAGGAGAACTTTGTTCACTCTTGTATATAGAAAAATGAATATTATAATTCGTTTATTATTTATGTTTTATTTTTTCATAATTTTAATTATAAAAGATCATGTATAATAAATCAAAATCTATGCATTTATTAAAATATGTGATCATGCATACATAAAAATGTATGATTATTTTATTTATATGTATGGGTTTATGTTTACGTAATACACATAATATTTGTGTAATTATTACGCTTTTATTTGCATCTCTAATAATGTCATTATTTTTTATTCACTTTTATACACGCGTATGTTACTTTAATAATAATACAGTAAGTACTTGAAAGTTTACCATATTGTTGTTTTTTAGGATACGCTTTCCACTACAAGAGAAATTCTTTTATATTATTACGAAATGTTTGATGTAACTACGACGATCTTTTTTTTCTTTTGGTAATAAACTAACAAATTAGGAATCAAAGCATCATACACAACATCGGAAGACATTACACTTGGCGGGAATACTTTGTAAAAAGTGTACGTCATTGAACATTGATGATAAAGAGGTAAACCTATCAAATAAATCTCTTGACCAATAAAATGTGCCTAGTCCAATGTCAACGAATCAGTTTTCATTTATAGTGTTTTTGATTTGCTGACTCAGCTCTGACTCTTTTTATTTCATGCTTTTTCTCTCATGTTTGACTCGAGTCAGCAAATCGAAAACATCAGCCACACTGAAATATTTATCGGCTAGTAAGTAGTTATCTTTAATTGGAAAGAAAGAGTGCGATTCTTGATGTTACAAATGCTTCGAAACATTTTTGATTGGTCAATTCCCAAAATAAAATTCTTTGTTCTGATTGGTTAAATGCTTCGAAGCATTTATAACCGAACTTAAAGCAGCTTGAGAAACGGCTATCCTGGCTTTTTTCGTGAAACCTTTTTAAAACCTTTAAGGCCATATCAGACTAGTGATTGTGCGGCTACGCTTGCCAGTTGACGATTTCTATTTCAGCAGTTGACGATTCTATTTCAGCAATCACAATGTAGCAGATCCTGGTTACGGTCAATGTGATTGGTAATAGTAGAATCATCGGCAACCGTAGCTGGGCAACCGCTAATCTGATATGGCCTTTACACTACCGCCAGTACATTTATTTTTGAATTTGAAATTATATAGCTCATCCATTTTTCGATGCTATCGATAAAATCACATTCTATTGACGGACATGTGATTGGATTTTTTTTTTTGAAGCCTGTACTTTATACCACAGATTAAAACAAATATCCAAAAGCCTGGATGATTAAAGCGAGACAAATATTTCCGTGCTTTGATTACCAACATATTTTGTCCTTTACCGCTAGTTAAAAAGAGAATCTCTCTTTTGATGATTTTCATGATCATTTTCTACTAGAAATAATTTCCACTATATTACCGATATTCAACATAGACACATTTTTTTTTTTATTAAAACATAATATAATTTATATTATAAAAATATAAAAAATTATATATATATATATATATATATATATATATATATATATATATATAATATATACCTAGGTACACAGAGGATAGAAATATATATATATATATATATATATATATATATATATATATATATATATATATATATATATATATATATATATATATATATATAATCATTTCATATTTAATACACAAATTGTAAATTATAAATTATAAATATTGCATATTCTATTCCTTTAGATATACATTCATATTACGTCTATGATAACATATTAAAATTGATGACATATTTGGACGCAATATTCAAAAATATAAAATCAATGTATTAAAATAAAAAATAAACTTTGACTATACTATTTATGATTTGCAATAAATTTTAAGTAGTTTGTAACATCATCATAACTATTTGCGCGCTAAATTTTATCGAAAAATAAATCTATACTATTTCACTTTACTAATCTCATTTGCTTAAAATTTTTGCCTTAAATTAACCCTTAATCGGGCGCATCGTGACACTGAGTGCTGCAAATTTTTCTGAAAAATCATTGATAATACAGATCTTTTTTATAAAAAAATAGACACAAAACTTTAATATATTACTTTAATATTATAATTAAATTTTAATACTATATTTTATTATATTTTACTTGTTTTTATGACAATTATCTAATTATTAATAATAAATTTGTGATGCAGTACTTAGTGCCGCGTGTGCCTACTAACATTCGGCCGGGAGGCGCGTCCGGTTAAGGGCTAAAAATGCCTAATATTAGAAATTAATTAGAAATTAATAAAACCAGTTTATTAAATATACTTATCTATCTATAAACGCAAGGTTTCAAAACTTGTAAAATTATTGTCTAAAATAAATCACAAATTATACATTTAATTCATAAATGTTGCTCTCTCAAGAGATTTCAGTTTATATAGCCAGTATTATTTGAATAACTTTATATTCACGTGTTTAATTATTCGTGAATTATGTAAATAGGAAAGACTATAAATGAATGTAGTAATGAATCGGATGAATTATTATTAAAATTATGGAATGAGATGAATGAAATATGAAATGGCGTTCTAATCATTAAGACCTGATGTACTACTACCACTTCTACTCGCACCACTAGATAGGTGAAATTTCGTCATTTCTTCCATGATGTAATCGTCATCTGTAATCCAAATGCAAACAATGCAAATGTGAGAATTTCAAATTAAAATTATATCGAACTGTTTCTATTTTTATTTCTATTATGTAACATATTAAATATGTTATATAACAAATAATATATAATATATAAATATGTTATAGTTAATTTATTTATTTATATATATATATATATATATATATATATCTTATTTAAAAAAGAAAAAAATTAATGTTTTAACATACATTTAACATACATTAATTTTTCTTTTCATATTTTTCGTTTATGTTTGATTTATTACCTGATTCATTATCACTCAGTTGGCGTGGCGAAAATTTACATCCTCGTGCTAAGTAATGCTTTAATTTACCGACACTGGCTAAAATTAAACCTAGGAATGGCGGTGATGGTTTTAATGGTCGAGATAAAAATTCTGGATGGAATTGTGTTGCAACATAATAAGAATGATTTTCTAATTCAGCGATCTCCATTCGTATACTTTCTTCATCATCACGACCTATAAAAATATCGCATGCTTTACCTTAATTATGTACAATTAAGACTGAGTTATATTTAATAAAAAAAAAACTGTAATTTTATTGATCTAACTCACCTACGAATTTTAAACCAGCTGCTTCTAAATCATTGACATAAACTGGATTAATTTCGTATCTGTGTCTATGCCTTTCTTCTATGATATCTTTATTGTCATATAACTTTTCTAGAAAATAAATATTGATAAAAATAAGAAATATATCGAATAAAAAATTTAATTTAGTCTCAATGGATTCCATTACTCACTTAAAACAGAATTATTATTGCAGAATCGCGTTAATCTTTTGCCGAGCCTCATTGTCCCTCCCATCATACCTTGAGTGTGCTCTGGCATATCTATTACCACTGGATTAATAGTATGGGGATCGATTTCTGTAGTATTTGCCATGTCGAGATTTAATACATTTCGCGCAAATTCAATGACTGCCACTTGCAAACCCAGACAAATCCCAAGGAATGGCTTATCGTTTGTCCTGCACCATCGGCAAGCCTCCATTTTTCCTTCCAATCCCCTTTTACCAAAGCCACCTGGTACTATAACGCCACTAAATGCAACGAGTAAATGTTAATTTATATTGAAAATAATAATTTTGTAATAAAGAATTATAAATGTACCAAAAATAAAATAAAAATATTATGCTTTCTTACTTGCTTTTGCAAAGCTGTTGCCAAGCTTCGTGATATAGAACTGGATCCTCTGATAGTGTAGCTGGTTCTAAATTAGCAGCTTCTATAAACTGTAATAATCTTATGCTTATAGATACATATAATCATATACATATAATGTATTTATAATTATATATACATATGTAATGTATTTATAATTATACGGTTTTAATTGTGACATTTACCGTCAAGTTCAATTTATATCCAGCTTCAATAGCAGCATGTTGCAACGCTTTTGATATTGAAGCATACGAGTCCTCAAGTTTTGTATATTTACCGACTAAACTTATGTTAACGTTTTTCCGTAGATGATCCACGCGCTCAGCTAGATCCCGCCATTTTCGCATAAAGCAACGTGGTCGTGGTACTCCAATATTCAATTGCAATCGATCATTAAGGAACTCTATGACACCTTGATATTCCATAAGAAGCGGCACTCGATATATGGATGTCAAGTCATGAATAGTTATAACCTAAATATAGAAATATA